GTCTTGGAAAAACAATAAGAATATACGAAACGAAGGACTGGCAATAGTATCCATATGATTCATGTAGTTAACATAAAATAGATTGATAAAATAAAGGATATAGCTGCCGGCGTTGACTAATCCTTGAGGGATAAGCCATGCATTCGTCTTTGATTTTGATTCTGTTTAAGTAGACTGAATGTATATTTGATTTTGCAATGACTGGTGGTGATTTATCGTTATATCAAGTTACTGTTTCTTATCCTCCCAGGAAAGTCTGAGGCCACTTGGGCACCAGTCCACCGACCACGGAGGGATAGATAACTTGGTGAACCATAAGCACGAGATCGCAGTATCGACCTCGTGTGCGACGCGGAGCACCTCTAACCTCTGTGCTATATGAGCCCCTTAGGAAGATAATAAATAAGTAATTGATTAATAAAGCAGCATATAGAATAAAAACACATCTTCAAGCATTCATGTATATTACGAGTCTTAATAGGCAAAACAATAGTAAGACCACAGAGATATATAGACAAGAATAAAATAAAATACCTTGATTATACTGTTCTTTTCGAATTTTTTTTCAAGACCACGTTCAAATTTCAATAATGCCTGATAATCATTTTTTGCGCCACGCATGTGGTCTGTTATAGGCAACTCATAGAGCTCGATACAAGAGTTTTTCAACATTGACAGTCTCATCAGTCGGGCAGTACCATTCGTCTTCACTTAAGGAGATCTAAGCCAATTAGGCCATAAGTTGCCCTAGAACAGAAACATGCATGGCTCAAAAAATGATCAACAAGCACCTTGGAACCTGAGCGTGGTCTTGGGAAAACACTCGAAGCGAAAGATATGATATATTAACGTACCAGCCAAGAACAATCCAGTGTAAACATTGCCCATTCAGTTATATTTTCACTTGATGGAGCGAGTAAAATGTTCCTCTTTGCCAACTCTATATGAGGGGTTAGTTACCTCAGATAGGTTTGGCTAAAATAAAGGCGAAGGGTACCATCCGACTGATGAGACTGCCAAGGTCGAAACACGTGTATCGGGCTCTATAAGTTGCCCTATAATAGATCACATGCATGGCTTAAAAAATGATTATCAACCACCTTGATCGACATGCATCTCTAATTATACATAAAGTGAAAAAGAAATCAATACATTGTATACTAGCGTTCGGTAGTACCTCTATAGGATCAAACTGAGAACTGAACCAGCGCACACTTGACCCTTTCACAACAATTTCCACGCTTTCTCGCACCTACGACACTATCGATTGGCTTTCCAAATCCATTGTTTTAAGCCCTCCGAGCTCTCTTTGGAAGACTTCACCCATTTTGTAAACCGGGGAATAAAACAAAGGTCTTAGAAAAGGAGTTCTTCATGGATAGAACTGACAACTTATTTCAGCATCAACACTGATTTGAATACGATGAGCAGTCATGTAGTGACAACTGTCCGTGGAAGGCTAGAGATAAATTCGACTAACGCTACGTTTTCACTCAGCTGATAATTACGAGCTCACCTAGGGAGGAGATACCTATTTGAAGTGTTGAGGTCAGTCGCTTGAATGATTAAATGTATGATGAAATCGCTCGATTTATGGATAAAGTTGAATTAGAAGTGCACCGTTGAAGAGTCTAAACGATCAACTGTGAGTTAATATAGACTTCTCCTTTCAAAATGACAAAAATCTAATTCTTCAAACATTTAACGGAGTTGTATTAGAGCTCTAGTTTTCTCTTGCTGGTCAATTAGAAAAACAAGAGCTTTTCATGGTTTTTCAAAAACTAATTGTTTAGAAATACTAGATTGCCTACCTGCCCATTTTCTTGACCGCTTGTGCTTCACCCTGTAACTAATGATTCTCCAGATCTTCAAAACAGATTAGAAACAATGAGAAGAAATTGTCAGAAGGAAAAAAGTGCACAATTACAAATCCTTAGGTTTTTCTCTTGCTGGTCTAGATTAGTACAACCTGAAGAAACCCTTTTAGGACCAAGTGTACCAAAAACGATTTGTGGTCGGTCCATAGGTTATGGCATTGGAGAAATAAACATAAAATTTTGTTACCTAGTAGCATTCAAATCTGCATGATCTTAGTATCGTTCAACTGCGCATTTTTTGTGAACATTGGTATATAAGTTTCCCACATTTGCCTTAAGATGGAGCTGTTTTTGGAACAAATTCGCTTGCTACTCATGCGCGGATAACGCATAAGGAAAAAGTGCTAATGAAGCGATGTACAAGATTAATAGAGCTTGGGGTGATGGAACGATTACAGAAAGAACGATTAGAAAGTCGCTCGCGAAGTTCAAAGCTGGAGAGAACAGTTTGGAGGATCAATCGCGCTCGAGCTGTCCACAAAAAGCCCCATTGTTTTGCGCTCCGCTTCACTAGCATCGTTCCCATACGCGGCTTTCGTGAGTGATTAGTAAACGAATTTGCACCCAAGACAGCTCTCCATCTTCAAGCAGGTATAGGCAAACTGTATACCAAAATGTTTGTAGGAAAATTCGTAATTGAACCATATCAAGGTCGTACAATTTTGATAACTTCTCGTTAATAAATTTAGTGTTTATTGTTCTACAGCCAAAACTTATGGAAAGACCTAAAATAGTGGCCTTCTTGTGGTTTTCTCGGCGGTCACAGATTTTGCACCAGACTTTCAGAAATCATTCAATAGTAAAAGAAAAGTGCGATTCTAGCACGGGGATTGCTTACTGGTTTGCTTGGCTTTTGCTCCACAGGATGTTCCTTTTACTACAACTTTCTCGATTATTCGACAACTTAGAAAATTGAGATTTCATTAATAAACTTCATTTCCAAAAAAGACCTTTTTGCGGTGCAACAAGTTTGAAGAGGAGCTTTCGTTTCGTCTTTGGCATTCATTATCTGTCAGCTTGGCCATTTGTGCTTGGCTTTCCAATAATTGCCATTAAAATTCAGTAATGGCTTGATAGAAAAAATCTTGACAAGTTTCATCCTGGTTTACATACTGGAAAAGTCGTCCTGGAGCGCTGTAGAGCGATAACAAATCACATTTTGCACTCGAAGTAGCTGAGCAGTTGTTCAAAATCCATAGCGAGTTTATTTGATAATATGCAAAAAATAAACGACAATATTCTTACAATATGGCAATCATTTTTAATCATTTTTGAGCCATGCTTGTGATGTGGTCTGTTAAAATGGGCTGACTTATAGTGCCCGATACACGTGTTTAGACCTTCGGTCTCGTCAGTAGGGCAGTCACTATATATTCTATTCCATTAGTATTCTATAGTTAATATTTTCACATACTTAATTACTTAGATGTCCCTCCATCACTAGTTGTGCGGACCCCAGCACCTATTCCAAATGGTATATCACTGGGTGTACTTATGACATTCCTTGGTTCCTTGAAGTAACCTTGCAAAGGCATTTTCAGGCTTTTAGAGGTCGTATAAGAGAAACGGATTTTGACGATGAAATTCTGACCGGGCTTTCTAACTGTTGATTTGGAGATGATGTTGGGCTGAAATCAAAAGCTAAAGTAGGGAAGAAATTCAACCGCCCGCTCACGGATGATGTATAGGCCAAAATCCGACAAACGACATTATTCATAAGATGAAACGAGGTTTTCAACTACATACGTATAGCATGAAAATTTGTGGAACGGTATCTGAATACATAAGCGTAGCGCCATTCGCGAGACCGCGATTCTTGTTATTTATTCGGAAACATTTCCTTATTTCGCAAAAACCACATTTTTCGTGATATATATATATATATATATATATATATATATATGTACATACATACGTATATAGATACACACATATGTACATATATATGTATACGTATGCATGTATATATATATGCAGATATATATGTATATAAATCCATGCATATATACATCATATATGCGACAAAATCTCTGAAGATGAAATGTTTTTTTTTGCTCACGCAGTATTCTACGAAAAACCTCCTTAGAATATGAATTCGGTTTGCGAATCAACACGGTTTGGTCTATTATATGGTCACAACATTTGTAGTAAAAAGCTACGCACAAACTCTAGTCGAACGAAGGAAGCAAACTGCCGAGTGTGAATAATATCTTTATTTTTGCTGCAATATAGTAAGAATTTTTCCTCAAGATTAAGTTATGAACTGAAACCTTTGAGATCTGAGCTGTCGAATGATTGCTGGAGGTTCAGGAGAAAAGTTTTCTTCAGCAAAAAAGTTTAGTCCCTAACATGTCACTTTTTAGTACTAGAAATAAATTGATTTTACCTACAGGAATTAATCTGGCGAGTCTCTGGCGGAAATGCGTGAAGCCGTTAATTACTGGAAGAGAAATAATTGTATAGCAAAAAGAATGCCTGTAGTTACTCGTTGAAGACAGGCTAAAACAAAGCACCTGCTGAGACTGCGACGTTGTGTGGTGGGAAGCAGAAACAGCGGTCATTCGCAGAGATGCGGCGCCACGATAATATGCCACTGCATGTAATGCGAGGAGCGTGAACTCGTCTTCCATTGTGATCAATGCCTCACTATGAAGTTCGTCTTCTAAAAAACGCTTAACGGAGCTTGATCCTCATCAAAGTGACATCTATGGTCTTTTCCACACAAAAATGTTTGATATCGTCTACTTCGGGATTACCTGAATAGATTCTAAATCTACTAACCTTCAAATGGATCAACTTGCGACGTAAAAATTTCAATCATAATTTTAGCCGACGATCTGGAAATAGGAAGATGGTTATTCGAATAATTCTTCAAGAGTGAGTCTTTCACATCTATACTCTCGTCAGTGTTCGTGTGCAGTAATGTCTTTATAAGAAGTGATAAGGCGATTTTTTAGCTATAAATTTTTTCAACTTTTTCCGGATTTGAAATCCACAGGTGTTATGAATCAAAGTAATTATGCCTTAGTAAGGATTGCTTATAATTGCCTTGATGACTACATGACCTGACCTTTATGAAAAGTATAGTCATATACGCAGTGATGTAGAGTGGTGTGCAGAAACTTCTGCGTTAGTTGGGATTCGAACCCACATTTCACTCTTTGCGGGAGCGCGCGCTGAACCGTTACACTAACGACACTCGATTTTGATACCACTCTTTCCACGCTACAACGCATTATCTGTCGACAGCCAACCGTAAACGGTCTGGTGCTGGTAGTCGTCATTGACATTGAACCCACTTAAGCTCACAAATGTTGAGTATATAATCAATCGAAATTTATATGTTTCAATACTTATAAGTTTCTGTACATCACTCTACATCATGAGTATACTGTAACATCATACCACCGCAAGAGGCGGTCAAATAATATGAATTCTGTTTGATTATCTGTAGCCATATCGTTTCCCAACAAAAAAACTAGACCATTCTTCCTACCTGTCATAGACGAATGTGCCACCGAGTAGAAGTCCTTTATCGAATGTGGCGCTTTCTTAAGCAGTGAACAACGGAAAAAGTGAACACTACTAAAATATCAAACACATTAAGTAAGCAATGATATTTACAGAATGTTGTGAGTCTAATAATCGTACTACCTAAAGTATTAAACCCTCTAAGAAACTGTCCCAGCAAATACCTATTTAGGTACACGACTACTGAAGGTATCAGATGTACCCATTGATATAGGGTGATGTGCAAAATTTTCGCGTTAGCGGGACTCGGACCCACATCTCGATCATCAGCGAACGCGTGCTCTAAGCCGTTGCACTACCGACGCCTTTGCTCACCACTCTTTCTGCACTACAACGCATCTATCTGTCGAGAGAAAAAGTGGTGGAGCAAAATGGCAGTCAGTTGTGTAACGGATAAGAGCACGCGTTCCCGGATAGAGTGAGATGTGCTTCAAGTCCCGCCTGACGCAGAAGTATTGCGCATCACCCTCCATCATTGGGTATATTTGAAACATTATATCACCAAAGCAGTCAAATAAAAAGGATTTATACTCGAAAGTTCTTTTAGCTGGATTGAGATGTTCTCTTACACTTTTAGTGATTATTCCATAGTCTACGTTTTAGCGAATTCAGCACTGTGCTTGTTCTCTGAAAAGAGCTTTCAGTGCGCTGTAGCAGTGGAAATAGGATCACGTTCCACACATGGTGCACATTTCTCGCTCGGCTGCGGTCTTCAGAAAGCTATCTATCAAAAATCTGGAAACCTCTTGATAGCATCAATCCTGGTGAATTGAAAGCTAAGGTTGATTTTCAGAAAGGTATGCAATTAGTGCTGCAAGAGAGCATAAAGAAGATCACGTGTCATTTCCAAAGTTTTGTCGCACTTAAGAGTTGTATAAGGATCAAAGCAAACGAGCGGCTAGAAGGCATCACGAAGCATCATAATGACACAAAAAACCTGAAGTTTTTGTGAAACAAGGAGAAAAGATCTAATTGAGTAACGAGAATCACGCATCCCTTGCGAAACGCGATGCGCGAACAGCTGCCGTCCCGAACGGGTTCACAGTGTGCAACATAGTACTTCACCTTAATCGCCCTTGTCAGAATGATGCAAGTCACTAAGCAGTAAATTCCACTCCTTGTCTAGTTTACAGCTATCAGTGTTGTATACTTGAGAGCAATTTGGACAGTTGTATCGTTTGATATCATGCTCATCCGCATCCAACATATCGAAAGGCTAAAACAAGAGAGATTTGAGGCACATGCGAACCCATCTACGAAGCTCATCATCTATGTGGGCGCCACCTATAGAAGTAAATTATTTCTATAAGTTCCGGAATTACAGCACATTTGAGAGTAAGCTACTAAACAAGTGTATATTCAGAAACCAATGGTTACATTTTTCCACACTCGAGACTTTTTATGCCATGTATCATGGAGTTTCACCTCTTGAGGGCAGCGCAGAACAAAAGGTCGCGCAACTTTTTTTTTATCCAGAGTTTTTCCGTTTTAGAAATATTTATATCTTTCTCGCAACACTGTGATACAGAAGTTACTCCAAGAGTCCATATGTTTTTGGAGCATAAAGGATAAATAGATAATGAACTCATTATTGATCAATCCTCTAAGGAATGCACCAAGCAATCATTTTAATATTTGGTTTCGTTTGCGGTGATAGAATGCACATCTGGCCTTTACATAGACTCTCGGCGGGCCTACCGTTTCATCGTCTCAGTGTTGCTCATCCTCAGACAAATCTGGTACTAGTTTAACGATCCCGGAGGAATGGGTGGCTTGGTGAGCTACGAGAGTGAAGTCGAGCCATTAACCTTGCGTGCGGTACAGCCCTTAAACTACTGCACCACATGCGCTCCTTTTGGAGTCTTTTAGACTATTTAATCTTTATATGTGGAGAGCAACTCTGATGATCAGAAAAAATAGTTTGTCAGAAGCTATACTGTGGAATGTTAGCGATGTCAAAATCTTCGGTATGTCTCGGAATTTTCCGATTGCCAGTGTATTTTAGAAGTTGAAACGGCTATGGGACTTTAGGAGATATTTTTTGCCTCTCGTTTTGTGGAATACTAGCTTTATATTTTTGTTTTACACCGCCAATAAATCGGTTGCGAAGTTCAACCAACGAAATACTTGGTTCGAGGCGAAACGTGATCTTCTCTTTGCTCTTACAGTGCTCTGCGTAAGCCATCTCAAATCCAAATTTTGGCGCCAACAATCGTCGAGATAAGATTTATTAAATGATAAGACCAGCAAACATCCATCTAAAGACCTCAGCCGAGCGAACAAACCAAGTGTGACACATGATAATGTTTTTCATTGCTACAACGCAATAAGAAAGGCTCTTCAGAAGCCAATCACATTTTCGAAATCGTCGAGATTTGGGCTTTAGACGAGTTACCAAACGTTTGGGGAAAATTTTTTCCAAAGGGGTGAGCCTCCAAAAAATACTGCATCTAAATGGATATCCTTAAGAAATGTGCACCTGTGCAAAAAAATAGAATTAAACTGACCTACGGGTGAGTTTGCGATGTTGAAAAATTGAATGGTTGATAGCAGTTTTTTTTCCAATACTTATTAGTAGAAGTTAGAATTTTAGAATATGGTGATTCGTTTTTTGCGTTTTTTGAGATTTAGAATAATGGTGATTAGATAATCTTTATGCATACTAGTATAAACGCAGTAGTAGGAAAATCGAGCTTTATAAAAAATACAACCAATAAAACAATCAATAACCACCCACAACATGCAAGAAAGCTATTATCACCAGCTAATTATAAAAATTACAGAATAGAGATCTCGGCGTCTATCAATCCCTTAGAGGACGACGCCATGCAGTTATCTTCAATTTTTAGCCTTGTTTGAGGTGGTGGTTGTATAGTTAGCCCTTACAACACCTGCAAGGTCTACTGATGTACCGCGAGCTTTACCCTTTAGCTTTATGTCCCTCCTGAAGGAGTTCCTGGTTTGCTCAACATAGTCTGCGAAATACCAAGGTCAAATGAGAGAGTTGACAATGGGATGACGATTAGCTCCAATACTTGCTACTAAGCTCTTATGTTGTTGTTCGTGGATTTTTTCTTTACCCACTACCATTCCGAAAAGGTAGTCGCGTGCTCGAATCCAAGTCACAATAAGTAAGGAAATTTTTTTTACATCTTAACACTTTTGCGGTTGTATTTCACATCGTACTCTGCTATAAAAAAGATGCGATAAGAGGGAAAAGCTAAATATTCTGATCTCAACCATAGCCACCCCAACTACAATTAGCACTGCAAGAACGACCGATGAAATTGCAGCATGCAACGTGATTCACAAACAGTGAGAGATTTCTGTATAATCAGGGCCGACTCTATGGATAATGGCGCAGGCTTTATAAAGTGAAATGGTTGGAAAGGTAAAAAAAATAATTGACGAGTTGTAAAGGCAAGTACTACTACCCAGAAGCCCGTAGTGCTCGAGTGCGAGGATCCAGATGACTTCTATGGAGCATCAATGGCCAATATTCTGGAGTTGATTCCAGAACAAGAATATCTATGTCGCTCGGAAAAAACGCTCAATAAGAAAAGACAACTGTCGAAGAAATGTGGAGATTCCGAGCTTTGCATTTTGAATGAATGATGTCAGAGAGCAGCGTCTAAGATTGCTCAAGCTGTGAATTGCCTTTTGGAGACGCCCTCTCAACAGCGCGCATAATGCCAAAAGATAGATTTCAAAAAGTCACAAATTCTTGCATTTGGTTGATGGTTTATGGAACACTACAGGGAACAGATTATACAAGTTAATGAACTGCAAGCTAATCAATAGTTTTGGGTTGGCAAAAAATTTTTCGGACTTTTTCTTTCTGTAAGCTTTTTCATGCATTTGAGTTTTTGTCTCTAATGTCATTCAAAATAGCTTCTTGCGGTTATTTTAATATATAACACTCATGCATCTGCTTTGAAATGGAGTTGTCTGGAGAGCAAAAACGATTGCTGGTGCTTTACGAGTATCACTAGGGTTCAAGTGCTTCTGAGACTTTCCGTCAGATTAGCGAAGCCTAGGGTGACGGGACAGTTGGGAGAACTGCAGTTTTTAATCGTTTCAATGAATTGAAGGCTTTAAATGCAGATTTTCCACTTACAAGAAGAATCGTAGATGAGTTGAATTGGCGTTTCAATGGCCGCCGCCAAGCTCTTTTTTTTTTCTGCGCCAATGTAAACCCTCATCATTCAAGATTATCAAATGCAAAGAGTGAGGGATTGGCTGGAATCGTGTCGATCGCCCGCCCTACCTTCCAGATTTGGTCTCACCTTCCCTGAGATTTTTCACCTTTTCCGATCGTTGCAACAATTCTTGACAAGGAAGGCGCTTTGATAACATCGATGACGTGAGTAAAACACTTGAAGTATTCTTTGATTCGTAAGACACAGATTTTCACCGTCGCGGGATTATGGAACTGCCGGAAAATTGGGAGTAAGTGTTAGAGTTGAAGGGGAATACTTTACTAATTATTTGCTGTTTTTATGTTTTAAAAAGGGGATAAACTTGCACATAAACGAAAAAGCCGGAAAATATCTTGTCGACCCAATAGTTGAAAAATTGCCTATAGAGCTGGAAAGGTGACAAGCATCGACAAGTTAGATTGCCCATTTAGAGGAAGAATTGTACTTCACCGGTAAACCATCGCAA